CAAAAGTTACATTTATGCTTCAGCAGACCCAAAAAAACAGTCCTGAATTGGTCTCTTTTTCCTCTTATCTTTTGTTTTCTAAGCAAAATAAAAATGTAAATAGTTTAGTTTTATTTATAGTTATAAATCCAGAACCAAACAAATCACACAATGGAAGTCACAAAATGTTTTATTTATTTATTTATTTATTGTCAGTAACTTTGTCAGTTACACGATATATATTTTGAAATTTATACTTAAAAGAATACATCTCTGTTACGTATGGAACCCTAGTTCCCTGAATAGGGAACGAGATGCTGCAATGACGTCATCGCTTTGGGAACACCTCCGGTGTGACAAATGTCTGAAGCCTTATACCATCACGCCAATTTACTGGCCAATAGCGCTTAGCACCGCCCCAAGCATACGTCACGTATGCTCATATATGCGTGCTATTTCATCAAATTTTACACTATGACGAAGGAAGCGCTATCAAGGTACGGACGGCCCTCATCGCAGCATCTCGTTCCCTATTCAGGGAACTAGGGTTACATACGTAACCGAGATGTTCCCTCTCATAGGTAACTTCAATGCTGCGATGACTTCATCGCTTTGGGAACGCTATACCATAACGCCTGACGTACCTTAGATAGCTGGAGACCAAGGAAAGCTTCTGCTCAAGTGGATAAGACCCGGGAGCTAGGAGCCATCCTCACGTCTAGACTATAGAACTTGATGAAGGTGCTAGGAGAGGACTAACCTGCCACAGCACAGACATCTCCCATCAAAGGCCCTTTAAAAAGAGCCTGAGAAGAAGCCATTGCTCTCGTAGACCCATCATCTCGTTCCCCTACTCAGGGAACCGAGGTTACATACGTAACCGAGATGTTCCCTCTCATAGGCTCACTTCAATGCTGCGATGACGTCATCGCTTTGGGAACGCTATACCATAACGCCTGACGTACCTTAGATAGCTGGAGACCAAGGAAAGCTTCTGCTCAAGTGGATAAGACCCGGGAGCTAGGAGCCATCCTCACGTCTAGACTATAGAACTTGATGAAGGTGCTAGGAGAGGACTAACCTGCCACAGCACAGACATCTCCCATCTAAGGCCCTTTAAAAAGAGCCTGAGAAGAAGCCATTGCTCTCGTAGAATGAGCACGCACCTCTAGAGGCGAAGTCACACCACGCGCCTCATAGGCTAGAGGTATAGTCACTATCTGACCCCACATAGAAGGGGAGAAAACCTCCAACCACTTGCTGAAAGCAAAACAGAGTCAAAGCAGCCTTAGGATTAACTAGGCCTAGGAAGCAGTAAGACTTAACCAGCCTCGGGGCAAAGTCCATACAAGAGGAGCTGACAGAGCCTGCAGATCCTCAGTCCTCTAAGAGAGGATAGGATTACCAAAAAACTGCTTAAGGTTTCAAAGTTATCTGACAGACTTAAACGGCTCAAATGGATGGCCTGCCAGGCCTTCCAACCGAAAAATAAGTCCCAAAAAGGAATCTGTGCTGGGCGGAAAGGCCTAAGCCGTCTCGTCCCTGCATGAAACGGGAAACCAGCAGATTGTGTCCACTTAAGGGCATACAGCGTCTCCTGGAGGGAGCTCTAGAATTAAGAATAGTGTCGGTAATCTCTGCCAAGAGACCGGAACACATTTCAACTCTGCTCAGGGGTCACACCCATTAGTTCCAAAATCCTGATGGGGATGTCCAATCATGCCTCGAACCAGAGTCAGCAGGTCGTGTTTGAGGGGAACCTTCGACAGAGGAGACAAGGAAACCAGAGCGGGCAATGTGCATGCTCTATTTTTTTAGCAAACAAATCAACTTCCGCTCGGTGCCATATGAGACTCACCACCTGAGGGTACAATCTCCATTCTCCAACTCTGTCTCAAGAGTAAGTCCACTCCTGAGTTCAGGTGACTCAGGACATGAACTGCTCTGATCGACAGAAACCTAGTCTGCGTCCAAAGAAGAACATCTCACCAACCTGCACAGGGGGCGAGAACGTAATCCTCTCTGACAATCCATGTATGAGACCACAGCCGTGTTGTCAGTCCTTGACCTAATGTGACAACCACTCAATTGGGTATGAACAGTTGGAGTGCCAGAAAATGCTGCTCCAAACAGTTTGTGTGATTGAGCTAATATCAGCCAATCGTCAAGGTAATGAAAGAATACAGTATTGGCAAGCTTTATTCCAAAAGCAAACCTGAGGAACTTCCTGTGTCTCTTGACGATCTGGATGCAGAAGTACGCATCCTTAGATCGATGGTCACAAACCAATCTCGGGTTCAGATAGAGACAGGATGAACTTCTGCGTCAGCATCTTGAAATTGCTTACTCCAAGCACAAGGTTAGGTGACGCAAATCCAATCAACCCATAGAAGCTGGATGGTGTAACCATACGACAGCCTGATCCTCCCTCATGAGGTCCCGAGACACCCGAGTTGCGGGAAACCTCTGAAACAGGAACGGATACTAAAATCAGGCATGCCAGCACCAACCACGGAGTGGGGACTTGGATGTCAATATAGACCCTGCACCAGTGGCTTTAGGGCTATCCTCTCGATCTCCAAAGCTAAGGCGCGAAGAACGGTCAAAATCAGCCCGAAACGCAACAAGAGGCGGAACAGCTGATAGAGAGGCAAACACACTTGTAGGTTGCCCATATTCATACACAGTTCCAGCTCAATGCAACAGCGGAGCTGAAAAGAACAGAGTAATTAGTCATGCAAACCACTGCTTGGTAGCATGAAGCACCCAACATCTCTAGTGCACAATAATGTATGCTGCAGTCACATAATGCAGCCAGTCATGTGAAGCGAGTGTTGGTAGCAAAAGCGCCGCATCAATCACATGAAGTAGGCTGACCATGGTGAGCATTAATAGCTTGCCATAAGAGACACTCTTACACGTGAACTCATTCACACAGTAGCTCAGCGCATCTCAGTTGGGATGAGAAGAATAATGATTAGTTATGCAAATAGTGTTGGTAGCCTGAAGTGCCAAAAACCATGTTGCACGACAAATGTGTGTTGCAAAACTCCAGAGCCAGCTCATAGCACAGAGTCCACTATTTGTTCCAGCTCAAAACAGCAGTGGAGCTGAAAAAATAATAATCATTAGCCGGGCAGACTAGTGTTTGGTAGCATGAAGCGCCAAAAACCATAGCGCACGGCAAATGTCAGCTGTGGAGTCTGTGCTTAAAAACAGTCACATGAAAAAGAGTTGGAAGCGTAAGCGCCAAATCAATGTACGTGCCTTAATTAAATAAGAGCTGTAAGCGTAAGCACCAATTCAATGCACGTGCCTGCATTAGTGCAGCACAGAAGTAGAGAGAGAGAGAGAGAGAGAGAGAGAGATAGGAAAACCCATCTGCTCAACTTTACAAACTGAGCCATATAGCATTAAATGTTTAAACAGCTTGCCACTTAATGTTTCAGCTCAACGCAGCAGCAGAGCTGAAAGAAATATTATATTACTCGGGCAGACCAACGCTCGGTAGCATGAAGCGCCAAGACCATGGTGCACGACAAAATATCTGCTGCAGGACTCCTCAGAGTCTGCGTCTAAAAAGTACACGAACAAGAGTTGGACGCTTAAGCGTCAAATAAAATGAACGTGTCTGCATTAGTACAGCGCAGCTGGTAACGTTAAAGAGAGAGGGGGAAACCCGCCTACTCACTGTTATAGCTTGCTATAAGAAATACTCTGAAAACGCGTGAGCTCTTCCACTTATTTGTTTCAGCTCAATGCAGCAGCAGAGCTGAAATAAATAGTAATTAGTTGGGCAAACTAATGCTTGGTAGCTCGAAGCGCCAAAAAACATAGTTCCCAAATAACTTCTGCTGCATGACTCCTCAGAATCTGCATTTAAAAACAGTACACGAACAAGAGTTGGAAGAATAAGCACCAAATCATATGAACGTGTCTGCATTAGTGCAGCGCAGCAGTAGAGAGAGAGAAGGGGGAAAAACCGCCTGTTCACTGTTATAGCTTGCTATAAGAAATACAAAAAGAGAGTGAGAGAGAAGGGGATTAATTCCGTTCTCTCACTCTCTGTACACTCGGTCTCATCGCCGTCACCCCAAGGGTCGAGCTTGTGCGGCGCCTCGGCAACCGCAGAACTGGAACAGCGGGGGTTGAACGAATATCTCTCCTTCCTCAGAAAGAGAGCAGCCCAGAGTGCAATTTACTCACAAACACAGATATCACGGATACAACAATAGATAAAGGCCGCAAAGCGGTCTTCCTAAGCGCTATTGGCCAATAAATTGGCGTGATGGTATAAGGGCTTCAGACATTTGTCACACCGGAAGTGTTCCCAAAGCGATGACGTCATCGCAGCATTGAAGTTACCTATTAGAGGGAACTACAACAACCACAATCTTGGTCTACACTGCCGGAAAGATATAAGAAGAAGAAGAACCACAATCCTGTGCGAGCAGGTAGATACTAAACCGATTGTAAGAGGAAGGAATAGGAAGGAAGAGGGGATAATAGCTAGATTATTTGAATTTGAACGTACTACTCGACCGTTAAAAAAGTACGTTCTATATAGTATGAATGCGAGTAGTATGAATGGAATTCGGACGTACTACATCCGCCATGTTGATGTTGTCACGTGACATGCGTCTTCACAACAGCGCCAAAATTTAAAGAGCCCTCACTACTGCGCGAACATCAGCAATGTTTCACGTAATTCTTACCGCTTTCATCTGTGTTTTAACGTTGATTGGATCAACAGCTCAGAGGCGTCGGTCAGCTGCTCACAGATCATGCCTTCGTCGACAGCTTGCAAATCATTTATCATGATGAATGTGGTGTTTTTGAAACAGTAGAGCATGTGCTCTTTAAATGTAGTAAATATGAAGATCAGCGTAACAGTCTTTTTAGCAATATAAGGAACAGACCAGTGAGTGTCGTGGACCTTCTGGGAAAGGGTTTGAGTGATAGTCAGAGATGTTTAAGGTGGTTTTAACATTTTTAGAGCTCACAGGATTTAGTGTTTGAGGATGAAGATCATGATGCTTCTGCCCATCTCGGAGGTTGAGGAGCACAGTGTGGAAGCTGGAGGAGCTGAACACGCAGCGCCAGCTGAAGCTTGGGCTCTGATCCTCTGGGGTGGGTGGGGCATTACAATTTTATTTTATTTTTTTTTCTGTTGTTATCAATACTGATTCATCACCCACGTGCGCAAGATATACAGTAGGTGGCGGTAATACTCCTAAGGAGTGAACGGCCATTGAACAAAAAGAAGAACAAGAAGAATGAATGCAGAGAAGGCTGTAACTCAAGTCCGCCTCTCCATTGTTAAACTGCAGTCAGATTCATCACCCATGTGCGCAAGATATACAGTAGGTGGCGGTAATACTCCTAAGGAGTGGACGGCCATTGAACCAAAAGAAGAAGAAGAAGAACAATCATGTGCGCCTACGTCATAAACTCACGCCGGCCCGTTTGTTTCGAAGTGCAAAATTTAAAAGGTATGTAGTGTGTACTTACTTTGTATCAAAGTCATGACTTCTAGTGTTTTATCTTGTGCTGTTTGCTCAGAGGTGTTTTGGACAGAAAACATAAATAAAGAACTATTGTTATTTAGTGCTATAGTAGTTTAATAATAAGCTTGAAATGGACAGCTGGAGTGAACTGTGACCCAAATAACAACCAAGCAAGAGGCAAACGATCAGTGGCCTTGAATCTGAAGAATCCCAAAGGTGTGGCTGTTTTGAAAAGACTGTGTGTCCAGTCAGATGTGGTTCTGGAGCCCTATCGTAAAGGTCAGTGCCTTAATTAAAAGAAGCAAACATGACGCCACATTCACATGATTAAATCTCATAATGTTCTACACAGGAAGACAGAGCATTTGCCAGTTAATCCATTTCTAGCTAGTTGGCAGGGCATATTTTATTGCTAGAATGTAGCATCTTCCTGACACAATTAATATAAGCTTTTAATAACAGCGCTTGTGATGCCTTTACCATTTTTTTTTTAAATATATAAAATATATGTTGTAATATAAATAAATACAATTCAAAAATATATATTTGTTTTTTATTTTGTGTTTTGTCTAGTTCTAATAGTGAATAATGTTGCCTCTGCTAATCTTAATTATTATGGCAGTTCCGATAAACAGTAATTACAACATAAACCAATGTTCTTCCATTTTAATGCAAGATTGTACAGCATGTTGCTTCACAATTAGTTCTTTTTGTTTGCAAATTAATTACTCTTTGTTTTTTAAACTATTAACCTCTGCCCATATCGTTTATTTTGTCTAAATAATTTCAGTTGCTTTAATGAAAGCATTGTTGATTAACATAAATAAATAAATAAAAATGTTCTTTACTTAAATTGGTGATTGCCATTTCTTTCCTGATTTTACATCCAAACAAGAATAATTAGCTACCTTTTAACCTCTGGTCCTCTAAATTCAAATTTATTTACCTTCAAGGCTTTTTTCATTTCATGCTTCGATATTATATCTCTCTGGTATAATTAAGGTGTTATGGAGAAGATGGGATTAGGTCCTGAAGATTTACTAAAAGAGAATCCGCGCCTGATTTATGCACGACTCACCGGCTACGGTCAGAGCGGATCCTACACCAAGGCTGCCGGGCATGATATCAACTACCTGGCCATGTCAGGTAAACACCAGTGTTAAACGGGTACAGAGAAGCCTGGCTAGTAAGCTTTCCCAGACTGCCTTTAGGCACAGTGGTTGTAAAGCTCAAAGTTCAAAATACCTTTGGTGGAAAACTTTTCTTGCACTTTTCATACAAGCAGAGTCAGTGTGTCCTCCACACTAAGACATGACCGCGAACTAGCCCTTCTCAGGTTGCAGACTGAAGCCATATGGAGCAGTGTGGGTCTGTGGTGCTATGAAAAGAATTTTAATGGAAATTATGCTGTGTTGATCTTTGATCATGAGAGAATTGATTAATTTTCCTTTTTTTTATATTTTATTATTTACAGTGGGTACGGAAAGTATTCAGACCCCCTTAAATTTTTCACTCTTTGTTATATTGCAGCCATTTGCTAAAATCATTTAAGTTAATTTTTTTTCCTCATTAATGTACACACAGCACCCCATATTGACAGAAAAACACAGAAT